TACTGAGGGAGCACTCAATCCCCTCATCCATGTGATAAACTTTGGCCTTGAAAGTCAACAGTTTTTGTTGCAGTGTATGACGCTTATGAAACTCTTGAAAACAGAAAGGTGTTCTTGAAAATAAATAAATTTTAGAGTATGTGTGCCTGAGCTTACCTTTTAAAAGGGCTGTACAGTATCTGAAGCAGTCTGGGAATGAAAGTTTACACACTGATTTACATTGGAAAAAATTATCTGTGCTGCACTGCAGCCAGCATTGTGGACATACTCCTGAACTGACTTTCCATTGACCCGTGCCACTCTGCAAAGCAACACTGCCTAGGCTGAACAACAAAAGTTTTAGAGGGAAACACAGAAATGATTTAGGGCTTCCTAGAGAAAACATGAGGCCTTCAGTTCTGCATTACTCTGTCACAGGTGCCAGGCACAGGACCATAGGATATTGAGCTCAGTCACTGTGCAAATGTGCAGCTATAGGTTCCTTGCTACCTATGCTCTCAAGTGGTCCTAAGGCTATATTTTCCTTGTCTTGGCTCTGTCTTTTCTACTTTTAGCCTTCCAGCCAAGGCAGCGACACCATTTGCTGGCACTAGCATTTGTTCTCTTCAGAGAAAGGGAGTTCATTGCAGGTTAACAGTGATTCCCACGATCATTGTATATCTGCTGCTAGAGTAAATGTCTAAATAAATCCTCAACAGAAACAATCCCCTTCTGTTGAAGTATGTTACATAAGGAACAAAAGTAAAAGCTTAGTACACCAGAAAACGGTATTTTAGATTACATTGGCAGGCAGTGCTAGACAATGGTAACATTGTAACAAATGTGAACAAATTTTTTTAATGAATGTGTAAGAATTCCATGATTATAAATCAGTAAGATGTTTCTGTGTTGTAGTAAAGAAGCAAAACAGAACAACAGAACAGAGCTACTGCTTGTCTACAGATACACAATTAGAAAGACCTGTGGTGAAATGTTTATAACTGATATAACTGAAGTTCTGTATATTACTTCTTTTAATAGATTTCCCAAACTATGATACTTGTTTTGAAAGTGGCTTCTCTGAAGATTCTTCACATTCCACCTTTATTTGTGAATTCTTATACAAAGTTTCTTCTAATACTGCTAAGCTTCTTACAGAGAAGAAATTAAAAGAAGGTATTTCACTTTTACTTTATGCATTTGAATAATACATGAATATGTATAGTTCAGATGAATTTGAGTCTTTTTAACTTCTTGCATTACTTTTTAAATAATAAAATGTCTTTGTTATGATATCCTCATTTTATTTGGTAGACCTCTTTTAGATAAAGAAAATACTGATTGCCTTGATCTCTTTATTCAGTGGTTGATAGAGGAAGAAAACTGAACTACGAAAAAATTATTTAGTTAAGAACAGTTATTGATAAATAAAAAACACTTAGAAACACTTCTCACTTTAATTATGTTTAGATGGATGCAACTAAACGCCAAAAAAGTAGTTTCCATCTAAAAGAACATGTATCACTGACTTTTTAGGAAAAGTCCAAATGGTTGAACATCTAGGATATTTCTCAAGCTCACAAATTTTAAAAGTATTCCAAGTGAAAATGAGCACTTCCAACAACTTTACAACAAATTGAGCATTGTGGGGTAAAAATGTGTGTATATCACAGTAGGTATACATGGTCGTCTGTGATTTTTTATTTTTTTTTTTTTAGATAGATGTTATCAGAAAATTTTCTTACTTTTCCTCCATACGCTTTTTTCTCCCCAGTTGTGTTTCTGTATTTTTCTTCCATTTAAACAAACAGATGATGTGGATTTTTAAAATCTGGGCTGATTTGTGGTTGGGTTTATTTCTCCTAAAATCTTGACATGGCATCCTATGTCAGTATATACATATTTTTCTATGATTATGTCCATATTCTCATGGTGTATGCCTTTAAGATCCTTAGTGGAGGTTAAAGCATGTTAAAACACGTAACCCCTATTTAAATATGCTTTTGAAGAATCTTTTTGTTAGTTTGGGTCCAAATTCCTGAAAGCATTGGGTGATTAACAGAACTAATGCCTGATCACTGGCATTTCCCAGCAACTTGGCAGTTGTTAACAAAGATGCCTGTTGTGGCAGAGGACTGCTGCTGGGCAGGACTTTCTTGAGGATTGTTCTGAAACTTCACTCAGCTTATTCAGGAATGAAAAGAATAACTGCAAACTTGCTCTAAGTGCAGACCTTGTCTTCTGTGCTGTAAATATCTATATCTACTTAAAAAAACCAACAATAACAAAAAAAGAAAAACCCCTCACACTTAAGAGAGGTAGAGAGAAGATGCAAGGCAATACTACTGGTCTCTTCTAATGCAGTGATATGTTAGAAGAGCAGTACAAGTGTAAATACCTGTATAGATTGAAGATTTAGCTTTAAGCGCTTACAGAATGTTTTCTGCTGTACTTCTGGGGGAGGTACAGTGGGATGCCTTAAAAACATTCATGGAGAATGACCTCAGACAAGAAACAACTGCCTTTTTACTGTCTTCTAATGGAAGTTTTTAGTGGACAGAAATGAAGCTGCTTTGAAAGCTTGTAGTCTATTGCTTAGCACTGCACTTACTACCTGGAGGTAGTGTACAGTAAATAGGAACCAAATTACCCTCAGCTCAAGTTTTGACCTCTGAAATTGTGATAGTCTCTTGTAGATAGTATATGTTCTGCTTTTTTGTTGTTGTTTTGTTTTGTTTTTGTTTGTGTTGGGTTTTTTTGGGAGGGGTTTGGTTGTTTGCTTAGGTTTTGTGTTAATGTTTTATTACCCATGTGTTTGTCAGGACTGATGTTTCTGGGTTAGGTGCTTTACAAATACATAGGAACATAGGTTTCCCTGACCATTTGCAGTTCAAGAAGAAAAATGACAAATGGGACAAGGGAGGAAGATGTAATAATAACATCCTTTCAACAATAACAAAACCCTGTAATTTTGAATTAGAAACTGTTTTTGCCTGAGGGCTCTAATATGTCTCAGCCATGTGTAAGAAGTATTATGACAAATGGGGTTTTTTGCTATTTAAAACATAAAACATGTAATCTTTTTTTTCCTTCTGTATTGTTTTATTCCCCTACTTCAAAAACTGTTTCTACTTTTATAAAATTTTGTTAACATGAAGTAATGTGGGATATGCGTATCACAGATTGTTGAGAATAGGTGGTAATATTTTTTTCCTTCCTACTATCTTTAGAAAATAATTTGATTATTAGAGTATTAATGTATGGGAAATACAGTTCGTTTTCCTTTTCTGCATGTAAAGATTCAATTAAGAAGGTCACATCACCCAAAAAAGTGATCTAGCTGTTCAGTTCTAGAGAAAAACTACTAAGCTCTCCTGTTGAAGCAGCTCTGACGTCCTGCGAACTAATTGAGTTCTCACTGGTCCAGAGAGGGAGCACCATTCTCTCACTGGGGATCACAGCACTTGTCTAAATTTTGGGCCCAGTCCCAAAGTATGTTAGGCTTTAGATCTACTGATTTTTTAAATATAATTTTTAATTCTCTGTGTGAAAGGGCTGCAAGCCAGAATTCTGTTAAGCTGTCTGACCATTAGACTTAAGTTCTTCCTCACTGTGATGAATCTGTGAAGCAACTGTCAGCCTTGCCTTTAGTGCCAAGGGCTGAAAATTTAAGTGCTGTGTTTATTGTCACAAAAAACTCTTATCCCTTTGTGGGCTGATCCCCAACGGTAAAAGGACACTCAAGAAATCATTCCCTGCTGTGAATTGAACTAAGTTTTAAAACAACCAGGAATACCTGGAAATACGGTCCAGTTTTTTATTATATGCATTTCAGATGGGTGCAGGAGAGAGCAAGAAAATGCTGTGTGCACTTCTCATTATAGCAGCATCAGTGGTTTCGGCAGGAGTGCATAACTTTTGAGGAAAGTTGTAGTTAATTAACAGCTGTTCAAGATCA